TACTTAGCACAAAACTGAGCCAATATACTTTGTATTTAGGAATTGATGAAATAATTAGATTGGACTAGAAAATTTCAGGACAATAAGCACCATTTCTGTTTTTACTGGCTACTGTATGTCCACCTCCTAACACAATGGCTGACATGGAGGAAAGATTTTGTAAATACCTGTTGCCTGAACATTAGATGATGTGTCTCTGTTCACTGTGATTCTTTTACAGAAATTTTAAGAGACTTTGGTGACCAAGTATCAGACATTTTATACCAGCTTCCTCTTGGTTGAAAAAATGTTAATAGATATTCCTAACTGTTCTCACTTTATTTCTTAGTTAAACTCTCTATTCTTACTCTCTTTTTCCCTACCTACCCAACAACGGACTCATCCCACATCTTCTGCTCCATAGTCTTGCCTTCTTATCATTTGCAAACACATGAAATTTCTACTCCATGCTTAGTGTCTTTGCTTCTCTCATTCATACATTTTTATCATGCAATGCCAATGTATTGAGTATTTACCATGTATCAAATAATAGGCAAATTGCTGGCCATGCAGATACAGTTGTTCCCATAGGTGTCAATATTCCAGAGAATGAAGTTATTATAATAAAGTTAGTTCAGTAATAACATAAGGTCATAGTGCTAGAAAGATGCAAGGGTCGGTTGTCCACTTTTTTCCTTGTGCCTGGAGTGTTGCTTTGCAAGTTTTTCCTCTGAATAGCTGTTACTATTCTACTTACCCTTTAAGATCTGATCCAAATCTTGCTTCTCAGTGAAGTTTTTCTAAATGTTTTCTGTTTGATTTTCTTCCCTCTTCTAAACCCCTGCCTTTTATAGTATTTGTTGTAATCTTTCACTAAATTGTATGCACCTATCATTTGGGAACTGTGTCTTTTCCCTTTTTGTGCCTTCACAGTTCTCTAAGCAGTGTAGCCTTATTGAATGGAAATATTTGCCCTTTCTCTGGCTGTTTCATCCCCCGCCCACACCCATGCTCACCAAACAACTTACCTCTTCTCAAGGATGTCAAAGTCATTTCTCCAGCACTTCCTTATGTATACATACATGTATGGAGTGGTGAGTTACCATGGCAATCATTGTGTGGTTGAGAAGTTGCTCTCCTGTTTAACTTCTCCCTTTGGAGGAAAATGAGGAAGTGATGGGCCAGCTAAAAGAATGACTCATCTAGTTTTGTTTGCTTCATTTTAACATGTGTAAATTCATTTACCGTTAACCTACTTCTTGTATTAGGAAATAGTGTTTCTTGTTCTTTGCGTATCTTAATCTTTGTTCAGATTTTTTTTTTCTCTTTCTGGGTTGCAAGCAAATGATTTTGAAATAATAATATGCTGAGTATATTCTTTTTTTTTTTTTAAAGATTTATTTATTTATTTATTTATACAAGCACTGGGTACAGTCAGAAGCACGGGAGGGTGAGAGAATTCACCAGAGCCAGAGGGGAGAGCAGAGCAGGCAGACTGACGAAGTACACTGATGAGGGGAGCAGCGGGCGGCAGGAGAGGTCTGCGCGCCATGTGGGACCCTCGCCTGGCAGCCGGGGATCGAACCGGCGCTGCAGAGGCCGCTGGCAGCTTCGCAGCCCAGCGCTCAACTGCTGCGCCACCAGGGGAGGCCCTGCTGAGTATATTCTTGAAGGGAAATATTCCCTTCATTTCCTTTTATAAAATACTGTGTTCCAATAACTTTGAAACAGCTTTTTTCTTTTAATTTCTGTAGGTTAAAACTAGTTATTTAACAACTTTGAATGGTCACCTTTTTCTGAATAGTAGATCAAACTCCACACTTCCCGATTGCTTTCTATGGAATATTTCTCCCTTCCAAGTACTAACCAGGCCCGACCCTGCTTAGCTTCCGAGATCAGACGAGATCGGGCGCGTTCAGGGTGGTATGGCCGTAGACTCTATGGAATATTTCTCAATTTGAAATATTTTTCTAGCTAAAACAGCTCCAAGAAAATTTCCCTCGCCTGCATTTTTCTCTTGACTTATTGAAAAAGAGAAAATCTCAAGACAAAGCAAACTTGTGCAGGCAATACCTAATGAATAACCTTAAATATATTCAGCCCCAAATTTCCAGGTCCATTCTCATGGGTGCAAGAAGATGAAGAAAAAGGGGACGCTAGCAAAAAATGAACACATACCCATTTTATATATTTTTCTTTACTATGTATATGTGTCTGATTCCATTTCTCTGTTAATGATAAGCCCATGAGCTTGACCCTTTGTTTCATTTAATGCTGTTTTCTCAGAAACGCAAATAGTGCCTTGCACATGCTTTATTGATTAATACCTGAGGGTGAATGATAGATGAAAAGACAAGAGTCAGAATCACTGTATATTTGTAGTACTTACCATGAATTATAAAACAATGTATTTTATTTATTTATTTATTTATTTATTTATTATTTTCATATTCCCCATACAATTGCACCCCCCTTATTTTGACCCCAATCGTTCCTTTTCCCACCTCCCCCCCATAGTGTGTCTCTGGTTTATAGTTGTTTGTTGATTTTGATTTTTTCTTTCTTATAGTTACTCTTTTTCCTGGTCCCTTATTTAGGTTTTCTAAATTCCTGCTGAGTGAGACCATCCAGTATTTTTCTTTTTCTTTCTGGCTTATTTCGCTGAGCATGATCCCTTCCAGCTCCATCCATGTTGCTGCAAATTACATGAGTAAAGCAATGTATTTTAAATAGTCTTTGCACAAATAATATGTGACAAATCAGAAAAGAGTTCCTTTCAATGCATTCATGCTAAGTTCTCAGCCTGCTAAGTGTGCTTTTTCAGATCAACAACAAATGAAAAAGCAAACATACACCACTGTGAGATTTTGGCATATCAGTGATAGAGCCATATAACATTTTTAACACTGGGATTGGCCCCAGGAATGGTATGTATACAAGACCACGGGTAGGGTGGAGAGATAGTATCAGGTGGGATTCAAAGCAAAAACCTCGAAACAGGTTAACCTAAATTCAAATTGCAGTTCTGGCTCTGCCTAAACTTATGGCATTGGCAATTAACTTTTTCAGGCCTTTGAAACTTCATCTATAAAATGGACAACTTTCTATATTGAAATAAGAATTGGATAAGATGAGGGAGTACAGATAAGTGCATGATTCAGTACAATTTTTCTAGCCTCAACTCACTTTGGAAGAAAGTTACTCATTCTTCATTTGAAAGCTAAAGACCTTTATTCATCTGTCAGAGAAATTGAGTCTAGGATATCTCTTTATCTGTTGTATTTTTTCCACTTGTAAATTTAGAGCATATTTAGTCTGATCTGTCTACTTCATAGGGATTAAGAATGGCTTAGCTAACAAATGAGAGAAGAAAATAGCTTTGAACTTGCTTCAATGAAAGATGCCACAAAAATCAAAAGGAGTTCTATAGGTAGTCTAAATTCGTTTTAAACCAAATGTGACATGAATTCATTATGAGTATAGACCTATATGGCCTTATACTTTGTGGTAACTTAAGAGTATTAAAGTCTGGGCCTCCCTGGTGGTGCAGGGGTTGGGGCACAGCCTATGAGGCTGTCCTCAATCACTGCAGCACGAGTTCAGTCTCCAGCCAGGGAGCTGCCCACATGGCACAGCAGACCTCTCCTGACTTGCCCACTGCTCCCTCAGCAGTGCATTTCAGTCAATCTGCCTGTTCTGTCCCCCACTCTGTCTCTGGTGAATCCTCTCACCCCACCCCACCCCCACACCTCTGGTCTGTACCCCAGCTCTTGTATGCATAAATAAATAAATCTTAAAGAAAGAAAAGACATTTTTTAAAAAAGAGTATTAAAATCTTTTGCTGATGTGATAAATGTCTAGAAGCAGTGCTTATCAAAACAGGACAAATTGAATTCAGAGACTAACTTAATTGAGCATATATCAACTTCCTGTTAATGATCATCTGCATAAATCAAAAACTAGTGTTATTCATAAATGACATATTTCCTGTGACAAAAAATTATGAAATGTGCCACTTAGGGTAATAGTCATATTTCAAAATACATGTTAGGAATTGAAGTAAGAAAACTAAGTACATAAGAATTAACGTTAAATATGTGGTGGATATAGACTATTGAAATTACAAGACAGTAATAGTCTTCCAGAATTTTAAAGATCTAAATAACTACATGTAATCTCATCATTTTTGTCATGAATGAATTATTAATCTTTAAAATAACAAACGCAAAGTTTTTCTAACAGTAATTTTCAACATGTATTTTGTCATAGGTGATATGTTAGTTTTTTTTTTCCTCTAAAAGAAAAACATAATTATTACAATTAATTGGGCTAAGAAATCCAAAACAGAATTCTAGTTGTGTTGAACAGACTATTTCAATACTAAAATTTTAAAAATCAGCAGTTACATGACAATATGAGTTGGACGGAAATTTTTTAAGATTAGTTACTAAATTAATTCTGAGTGAACCTCATAAAATATCTTATTTTTAGAGTGTAATACTCAATTATAAAAGATATAAGTAAAAGACAAAATAAAGAAAAGTAAAAATCACTGATATTGAATTCTGTAAAATGAGCAAGAATGCCAAACACAGACATCTAAATTAGAGCACAGCTTGTGGAGTAGAGTGACTGAATTTATGAATTGATGCAATCAGTGAAGAAACATAGAAAAACAAAACAAAAAAAATACTTGTTTTGTTAAATACTAGAGCATGCAATTGCTTAAGTTGCTTTAGTCATTTTTGAGAACTTTGACTGTTCTTCACTGTTAACATGGATTCCAGGAATTCAAATATTGGATATTACACTTATGTTTCCTATCTCAATTCAGAATTTTAATTTTTTCAGAAAAGGTAATGAAAGTTATTGCATTCATTCTTTGCAGATCATCAAAAATAGTTTTATAAAATGTTCAACCAGCATAAATATTGAATGTTCTATGCAAAATTGGATGTTCATGTGTGTTTATTTTCTATGCATATATCAAAGTAGTATGTGTCTTTCTTTTTCCCTTCTAGGACTGTAATAAAGTAGAGAACTTTATTAATGTAGTACCCGAAGGCATGAATTTGAGTTTTTTCATTGCTATGGTTTCAAATAACGGAGATTATACATGTGTTGTCACATATCCAGAAAATGGGAGGACCTTCCATTTAACCAGGACTCTGACTGTAAAGGTGGTAGGTAAGCATGATTTGCCTTACGTGCATGAAATAAAAATACAGAAATCTCATTCTGTCCCTTAAAAGTCTGTTACAAACAAGTAGGTAAATGAGTGAAAAGAGACTTATTTTTTGTTGTTATTCACTCTATTAACTCCAGAGTGTTCAGCAATCCCATGTATATAGTAAGCATTCAGTACTATTGGCTATTGAATGAATATGTGAGTGAATGAAGCAGCTTAGGTAATGAAGAGAATGCCAAAATGTCTGTGTTCAACTTATACCACTGCCATTTTTAAGCATTTTTGACTTTGATCAAGACTTCAGTCCCCGAGTAATACCTAATATTAAGTATAGCTGAGAATGTTAGAAATTATACATATATTATAATGATGGAGTTCCAGGCAGGCAGTACAGACTCAGTGAACAGTAGGAGTTAATATTATTGTCACAATATTAGCTTGAGTTAAGTGAACTATGCCTTTCTGGGCATTAGAACTGAAGTAGCTAATGCTGAAGGTATTCGTTCTTAGTGTCCTACTATTCTCTGCACTGAGAGTGTAGAGAATGAGGGAAATGAAAAGGACAACATCTAAGAAGAGTCAAAGACTCCTATCAAAACCTAAATCAAGAGAACTAGTGTAGGGAAGGTGGTAATTAGAGGAGAAACCTAAAAACCACTGTGCTAAAAATAAGAGCATGTCACAGAAATATTTTGTCCTACACCATCTTTAAATAGATGGAATCATTGAAGTCCAGTGACAGAAAGTAACCTATTTCAGGACACTCCATGAGTTAGTAAAGGTGATTCCAAACCTCAGGTTTCTGACTCTTTGCTCAAGACTTTTTTTTTCACTGTTCTGACATCAGATTTGGCATAGATTAAGAGGGAGGTTTTAACATTATACAAATAAGATTCAAATCAAATGATTTTGTAATCACTTTTCTCTGTTTACTTTCAAAATAATGGTAAGTTAAGAATTGATTCAGGAGTAAATTCAGACTAAATTTAGAACCTAATATAAATGAACTTTTAAATTCAAATGAATAATATAAGCTTACACTCATCTCAAAAATTGTTCCTATAATAATTATACACTTAACTATACCCATTTTTGCAAAAGTAGAAAAAGACCTTTTTGGTCACTCTGATTTATAGATATGGAAGTTCACATATACAGATATTGGGGGAGGGTTCTTACCCAATTTTCAGGCAACACTGATTTGTTTTTTAAAGCTAAAATATTGAGTGCTTATTATATACCAGTAACAGATTTTTTTAAATTGTTACTTAATCCTTATAATGAACTTGTGATGAATTTAATTATCCTCATTTTAGAGTCAGGAAAAATTAGTGTTTCAAAAGTTTACTGTAAATCAGAGTCATATGGTTAGTATGTGTTGTGGCTAGGTCAGGATTAGGACCCTGGTCATTAAATCTCTGGAGTTCATGCTCTTAAAGATTATACTGTAGAACATTTACAGGGTATTTTTCTTTCAATGTAAGGATATAGACTATTAAAAATAATAACCCTTTAGTGAACTTAAACTGATCACTATACATCACTATACATGTAGATTTACATGCTGACATCAAAATGATGTTTATGAATAGTCCATATACTTATCCATTCATTTAATTGTTGATACTAGACAGTTGACACATTGAGGAGCAATATGTGGAAAAGAAACACGTTGGACACAAAATAAATGATTATGTAGAATGAAAAACCTACTCATGTAAAATTTCAAATGCAAAAACACTGGTTAAACATTCTGTCCTGAAAATGAATAATGCTCAACATGTCATGTTTGTTTATAGCAAATGAAGTGTTGTAATTAAGCATATATTGAACTGTGGGCCCTCCTATGAAAAATTTAAAAACCTACACCAGAAAGTTGAGAAAGGCTTAATGGAAGAGTAGGTTTTTGAAATGGGGTATGAGGGATAAAACCTACACAATTATCATCATCTTCCCTTGTCCTTGTTCTCTCTTGCACAGGATCTCCTAACGATGCATTCCCCCCTCAGTTCTATTCACCTAATGATCGTGTCACCTACGAAAAAGAACCTGGTAATGATAACTATGTCTCTGATTTTTAGTAGATTCTCTTAAATACGAGGAATAAAATGTCACTTAAGTCAACAATGAGAATATAGTGCCACTGGATAGGAACATGAGAATTGAAATAAAATGTCTAAGCCAAGACAGCCATGGGATGAGTTAGTTCATCTATCTCGTGGGCAGTGCAGAGGCTCTGCCTCTCTAGACAGCTGTCCCTTCTTCCACTGCTAGCAGTTTTCCTCTCCTGATTAGTGATGACTAATCAGGATGCAGTCTTCAAGTTGCACAAGACTTTGGTTTGCCAAGACTGCAACATAAGCACAAGACATCTCTTAATCTTCACAAGATACCTCTTAATCTTCAGCAGGGGCTTGGGTTCGGAGGCAGAACTGTGAATTTAATAGATAACAACTGATATAACAATACTCCTGATTCCGAACTCTACCAAGTGATTACTGTGGCTGTCCGAGTCTAGACAAAAATCATTTGTAACTGACCAAATAAGGCCTAATTTGTGCTTTTTCTGACTCAAAGCCTCCCACAGTTAAGTTGAAAGAAGGAAAGTTTGTCCTTTTCTATATTCTTTACAATAAATTCACTCCCAACCCAGTGAGAGGTATTAGAAGAATGTTTTTTTTTTAAGATGTACTAAAGACAGACAGACTGAAGACAACATCTGTTTCTTCTCTCCCCTGATCCTTTGCTTTACCCCAGATTTCTTGATTTGATGTTGAAAGGTGGGCAAGTCTCCTTCTGACTCTACTCCATTTTCCCCTGTTGGTTTGATTTTCCTATCTCTACTGTCTTTTATGGGTTTTGACTCTTAAATTCTTTCTTCCTTTCACTATCTCCTTTAGTACAAATCCAATAAATAAGGTGAAATGTGAAAAAAAAAACAAAACAAAACATATACCAAAGAGAGATGTGGGCAAAACAGGTGGAGAACAGCAACACCTTTGCCACACCCCACCCAAATTTAAAATAAGGTTTCAAATAGTGAGCTTCCTTGCAAAAAATCAAAGAACAAGGAAAGGGTAGAGGGGACAGTCTGATAATGGAAATTAGACTAGAAATTTGGTGGTGGACATGGTAAGGCTTTTGCACATAGAGGCATGAAACTATAATAAAATTTACATAGTCTGTAAGCCAATAAATATTTACTTAAAAATGAAATAAAAATTCACATTTAAGGTAAAAAAAAGTACAGTAGTGAAATAAAATACATCAAAAAACAAAGAGTACACTAAGGGACCTGCCAAGACCAAATGGACCAAATTTCCTAGAATTACTAGTGACTTTAGATAGTAATATGAACGTTCTTTCTGATTGCATGGTAAATCCTTAATCAATCATCCAAATGTTTCATCTGTCTTTTATGTGTGATTACAAAAGCAGTCCTGAATCCAAGTTCACTTTATCTCCCTACATATTGATATAGAAAACTGAAAGAAGAGAAGACTTAAGAACCATATACTGGAAGAGAAAATAAGAGTATGACCACTCAGTGAGACAAACCTGAGCTCAAATTAGGATGACAGTATACTTTATCACCTCCACCCAGTCATTTTTGAGATAGAAAGTAGTTGGTTTTAATAACCAACTAGGAAAGCAAGTATAATACAGAATTGTCTTGGGAAAATTGGAATAGCAGTTACATCTAGGTCAACTCCTGATCTGCCAGATATTAACAATGTGATCTAGGAATGGCATGTAGTATCTTTAAGCTTGTTTTTGCATCTATAAAGCATGAATTTTAAAAATACCTCATAGTAATTTGTTAAAATTAAATAAGACAGTAATTACAAAAATATTTAGTGCAGTGAATTATGCAAAGTTCTCAGTAGTTTATTATTATTACTATCATTAATACCATTTTCTGGGTAATAATGGGATCCTAAACCCATGTTACATCTCAGAACCATATGGTGCAATTTTCCATTTGTAACATGTCTTTAAACTTTTTGAATGCATCCTTATGGCCTGCCTGGCCACTCTTCTCAGAGATGACATCACCACATGTTCCCCTTGGCAAGAAGCAGAGATCTGGTGAAGCTTTCCTTAGTCACCGTTGTTCATTATGGAGATAATAAAAGGGAAGAATAGTTCATAGAGGTTTAGGGTTAAAAAGCATCATCAGGGCCTCTCTGGTGGCACAGGTGTTTAAGTCTCAGCACTATCAAGCTACCACCAGCCATTGTGGTATGAGTTCGATCCTCAGGCAGGGAGCTGTCTCACATGGCAAAGCAGACCTCTCCTGTCTCACCCCTCAGCAGTGTATTTCAGTAGATCCACCTGTTCTGCTCCGCATTCTGTCTCTGGTGAATCCTATCACCACCCCCCCCCCACACACACACCCCTCTGGCCTACATCCCAGTTCAAACATCATCAGAACCAGAAACCAAAAATGGATCACTTTAACATTTTGGAGAAATACTGTCATTTTAAATTGTATTACATAAATTATAAAAATTGTTTATATAGATTGTATTAAAAGAAAATCATTCTAGTAATGTTATAAAAATTTTTAGTCTTTCTTTTCTTGGTTTAGTTTGTTTTAGAATGAAGTATGGTGTATTCTTTATGGAAGTCCACTTGAAAATTAGTCAGGTGTAGGTTTTAGTTACATGTAACTTGTGCAGTTTCTAATTAATCACATGGAATAGTGTACCAATCAGATATCCTGATGTGAAGATTGCAAACTGATGGGTTGACTTGTTTTTTTTTTTTCCTTTTAGGAGAAGAGCTTCTCATCCCCTGTAAAGTTTATTTCACTTTCCTGAAGGACTCTCGCAATGAGGTTTGGTGGACTATTGATGGAAAAAAGCCAGAGGACACCACTATTGATGTAACTGTGAATGAAAGGTATCATTGACACAGGCGAGGGCCTGACTAACTTTTGTCCCTCACTCTAGTGCTCTTTAGTATATTTTGTCCCTCACTCTAGTGCTCTCTGGTATATACTAATCAAGGGAAAAAATTCATTTCTGCCTATCAATTAAAAGTCAACAAGATTCTGAGGTCTTTTGTGATTACATCCTATACAGGATTACCAGGTTTGCAGTGGAAAGTCCAGAATTGAATTACTATGTTATGGCAGAGAATTTTCATCAGTCTCTGCCTAGGGCATAGCATACCATTGTCATAAACCCAGCAAATGCACACATTTATGACAACCCCTTGAAAGTAGATGGAATGATTATCTTATAAGAATGAAAAGGCTACAGCATACAGTTGAAAACAAAGGAAAACCTGTTAGTGTGGCCCTGCTCTTCTCTTTCTTGAGTCTGGAGTATGGGTTTCTGTAATTGTGCCTCTGATAATGGTTCACTTTCTTCTCTTGCCGTGAGCATGTTTTTTCTTATCTCCTCCTCTTGTTTCTTAATTCACATAACTTGCATGTCATATGTGTAATTGATCATTATTTTTTAATATTGAGCAAAAATATGTATGATCATTACAGTTTATGGTAACAGTGCATAGGGTGGCACTATAATTCACTCTTTTAACTAGCTACTTCATTTTATTCTTAAATAAACATGATTTTATTTAAAGGGAGTTGCATTAACAGGAAGAAAGTTTCAATGAAACAAAAGATCCCTCTATAAATGAAGCATACCAATGTAAAAGTGCACTTGGTTTACTGCAATAATTAATAAAAATTTACACCTGACTATGTGGCAGAGCAATTTAAGACCTTAAGCTTATGACTGGTGTGCAAATAGATCTTAGACTACTTGAACTTATAGAACTGAAAAGTTATTTCTTTTCTACTGTAAACCAAGACATTTTACAAAAATTACAAATATTTCATCTGCATCAGGAAAGGTCCTTAGTTCCTAATTAGGTAGACTTTACAGGGATAATAAATTATAGAGAAAAAAATTCAATATAATGAGATAAATACAGTAAGTGGAAAGTATTGAGTATTCTGGGGAAATTTATCTGGGGATTCTAGGCAGTTTTAGGGAATTAGCTAATGTTTCTCAGATGACACAGTACCTAAATACAGATTTGAAGGATGGGTAGTAACTAAAGAAATGGGAAGAATGTTCCTGGTAAAAGGAACAACATGTGCAAAGGCCTAGAGGTTAGAGAAGCAGAACATATTCAAAGGTACAGAAGGAATTCCCTGAAACTGAAGCAGTTTTTGTAGAAGGCTTTGATGAAAGATGTGGCTGGAGGCACAGAGGGAGAATTATTGATCATTTCAAGAATTATGAACATTATACTTTCTAACCTCATAATAATAATGAATGAATAATGAAAGTCATGCTGTTCACCCCAGCTATTATAGAAAACATGTACTCACTGTTCATAATTGAGCAGTGCAGTTAAGCTTAAGCTAATCCCATCACAGCCCTTAATGAACTTCTCAGGACTGATAGTAAGCCTCATCAGACTGCTAGATAGCAGTCAACTATAAAAAAGAGGCATTTTTCCCCTCTTGAAAAAGCAAAGACATTTGAAGGGATTTTAAATCTTGATCTTGGACCCAAAGCACTTAATTTCTGACTTGCTGAGCTTTGGATGCTATTTTCACTAAATTTACCTGCTCTGAGATTTCTCCATTATATATGTTAGGATATAATATTGAGGGTTCAGTATTTAATAATAATCTGTGCAAACCTGAAATGCATTATCTGTTTGCCATGGGTAAAGAATAGCGAATGTGAATATTTATTAAGCATCATTCTAATATTTTCTTATTAACATACTCAACCCTCAGAATTCTAAAATTAGCAGTTGCTACTTTCCTCTTTTTCCAAGAGGAACACATGATATGAAAAGATTAGTTACCTGCCAAAGTATGTGACCAGTTAAGTGGCAAAGCCTGGATCAAAACCCAAGTAGATTTGGCCTCAGAAGCTTCTTTCTAAACTAGCTTCTTGTTATACAGCATCCTGCCTCAGAAGGCTGAAGAAAAGAGGCATTTTAGTATGGGATATATCATATAATCCTGGGATTAATCTAGACATTGGGATTTTGTGTAGCATAGGTGATAAACAATAGTATTGGAATCTAGAAGCTATTCTCCTTTGTAACCTTTGGCTCACAGGCAACATAGCTTATTGATATTCTATCTGACCTTCCTGGGTGCTCTTTGACGGTCTACTTGTCATAGAACTTGAGTCTCACTAATACCTTGATTCTTTCCTCTATTTCTAGTGTAATTCTTTCTCAAACAGAAGATGAAACAAGAACTCAGATTTTGAGCATCAAGAAAGTTACTGCTGAGGATCTCAAGCGTAGCTATGTCTGCCATGCTAGAAATGACAAAGGGGAGGTTGACAAAGCAGCGAAGGTGAAACAGAAAGGTAATGGATGCATTCAGCAGACAAATCTGTGAACTTCAAATGTAGCATTTTGGTGAATAAAGGAAAACAGAGAAATTGAGAAGAGCTCCAGCACCTAGCACATCTGATCCTCAGTAATGAATCAAAATTGAAAGAAAATATCTTGACAGAAAATTTACATCTATGTGAATGTTGTTTCTTGTAGTTTTAGTAAATTAGTGCCCAAATGTGACTAAAATATCCATATTACTATAATAAGACATAATGTTATACATAGTAATCAAAGATAAAAAGGAAATATTCAAAGTTAACAAATATATATTAAAAATAGTAGAGTCACATATTTTTGGAGAGATGTAAAGAATCTTTTAAAAATAATTGATGTTAGAGTTCATGACTCATAAAAATGATCATACTATATGACTTAATACTTTGGAAATTCTTCCTGAAAAAAATAACTATAGCGCACAAAAAAGAATTATATGCAAATCAATATTCTTAAGAGCAAATGCTCTTAGAAGTATTATATATATATTAAAGAAACATTATAAATTACAATTTGTATGCAAAAAATAAGATTTAAAAATTTCTCAAAAATATAATTTAAAAAATGATTATTTTAAATACTATCTATCAGTATTCAAGCAGGTTTATAACATACCACTAACCAAATTGCTAAAATGAAACTATGACCTATGACTTAATATGATTTAGAGATGATTTTTTTGTTGATACTATGGTATTTTTTCTATAGTAAATAAAAATTGTAAAACTTTCCCATGTGAACTATTTCTTCTGAAACTGACTGTGTCTAAAATTATTTTGGGGTTGCTAACCTAACACAGAACCACACACAATCCCTTTAAGAACATTTTTCAAGGATCAGGAAAAAGATAAAGATGATTTATCACATATGGAGTCACATCATTCAGAATCATGCTGGATTGTAGTGCCAAAATTTATATCAAAATTAAAAAAGCAAAAGCTAAATCATGACACATTTTGCCATGCAACTTAAACCTTTTTCTAAAGCTGTGATAACAGACTCCATTTTACATTTTTAACAGTTTAGAAAATAAAGAGTAAAGACCTGACTTAAGTGGATCAGTTCTAGAGAGTTAATGGCTTCTGCTCCTCAGAAGTCAGTGTAAACAAAGACTAAACCACTTGCCAGAAGGCAGTGCTTCCCAGTGTTAATTTTTAAGAACACTATTAACTCTCTTTGTGGTATTGCAATTCATTATTTGTGCTTCAGACTCAGAATGGCCTACATTGGAATCCTGATTTCAGTGCTTCCCAATTTCTATGATCTACAAAAGTCTCTGAAGTGCTCAGAGTTTCAATGTCTTTGTCTTTAAAATAGGCAAAATATTATGGTGGCGATTTGGTAATTTGGTGGTAGGTATACCCTTAAAACATAACAGTGTTGGCAACACCCTGGTGGCACAAGGGGTTGTCTCAGTACTGTGAAGCTATTGGCAACCAACTGCAGCAATAGTTCAATCCCCAGCCACATGGCACAGCAGACCTCTCCTGTCTCTCTTACTGCTCCTCTCAGCCGTGTATTTCAGTCAGTCCGCCTTTTCTGCTTCCCATTGTGTCTCTGGTGAATCCTCTTACCACCCCTCACCCCTTTACCTTTGACCTACACCCCAGTTCTTAATAAATAAAATAAATCTTTAAAAAAAAAACCTACAACAGTGTTATAAACCAACATTACCTTAATGAAACAGTTAAAAGTGATAAAGTGGGAAATGTAACGCTGTTACCTCTTTAGGTTGTTTTAAAGTGTTCTTCACAACTGGCATCAAAATAGGGCTTATATACAGCTTTAAATGCTCAATAGATGTTAGCTTTTATTATTTCCACAAGATTTTCATAGGTATTATTTGACAGGGACTTTTAAAACTCAAGTAAGTACCATAAAAATCTAGTTTAAATAAAATCAATCATTTGTTACTATACAGTACAGGACCCCTAGGGTCTTTAACACATAAATATTTGTTATGACTATCTGCAGGGGGCTTGAAATAGAGTAGACAGAATTGGCTAAATATGTTTGACTCCAGATTCTTTAAAGTATGGAGCATTTTGTGGGACTTATCCTCTGAGCCTTGTGTTTGGGAAACAATCATGGAGAATGACATAAATTAATAGCTTATTGTCAGGTGAATAATACTAGAACAATCAGTTATGATATTTCCTTCAGGAGTGAGGCAGAGCTTGAGTACTTCCACTTCCATAGAAGACCCTGCTCTGAATAGTTTAATATGAACAGCCTCATGTATATGAAGTGATAAGTGCATCCACTAGACCAGTGGTAACAGAGGTGTCCCAGATTTATTTTTTTATCTGGCTTCTAGTCTGGACCAGCTAATGCTGAAATTCAGAGGTGAGATCTGTATTCACCTTTATGCATTTTATATGTGGACCCTGTGCTGAATTCATTGACAAGGCATTCCGTGTACTTTATCAGGAAGATGACAGGAGGAGGCTATTGCCTAGAAGTAGAGGAACTCATGGGATAGCTCTGTTGATAGCACTATTTCATCTGATCAGTTAAAGCAAAGTATTGAAGGCGAGGCAGCTAATGTAAAAGGGTTAAACATGCAGTTGTGTTATAATAGAAGACTGGTAGGGACTATGGCAGGGCTTGTGTTGAACTTTTTGAGAACATGCCAAACCTGTTTTAAAAGATGTACCATTTTACATTTCTGCTAGCAATTCCTAGTGCTGTACTTCCTTGTCAACTTTTGTAGTTGTCAAACTTAAACATGCTAGCCATGCTAACATGTGGTGATGGTATCAGATTGCATTCTTAATTCACTTTTCTCAGATACTAATGATGTTGAGCACATTTTTTATGGACTTATTGACCATTAATGCATAGTTCTTTTTGTGAAGCGCTTATTAAAAAATCTTTGGCCCATTTTTTTTACTGGGTTCTTAATGAGCTTTAGGATATATATAGATATAGATCAATGGTATAGCTGTAGCTATGTAAATATAGACATAGATATTCTTTGTCAGGTATATATGACTTGGAAATATTTTTATTCATTTTGTGAACTTATTTTCTTTTGGTGAACAACATCTTTAAAATTTTGATGAAGTCCATTCTATTAGTTTCTTCTAAATCCTGCTTTAGCAGCCTTTATTTTATATTTTTTCTTTTATAAGGTCTATGACTCATTTCAAGTTAATTTGTTTGATAGCATGATATGGGTTAAGGCTTAGTACTTTATTTTCTGATATAAAAACTGGTGGTTTTTGTTAGCCTCGTTGAAAAATCTTTCCTTTACTGTTGAATGTTTTTGACAACTTATCCACACACAAAAGAAAATTATTGCTATGAGTGTAGAACTATTTTTGTATTCGTATTCTGTTCTATTAAACTGTCTATCTTTAGTCCAAAACAATTTTGTCTTTATTAACAGGTTTAAGTAGGTCATGAAATCAGATACTATATAACCTCCTATGTTTTCTTTTCCAAGATTGATTTAACTATTTTAGCTGGGGACCGTATATTTTTTTCATATAGATTTTAGTATCAGCTTGTCATTTTCTAAATAAGAGCCCTCTGGGATTTGCATACAATCAGAATGCATTAATTTGTAAATCAATTTGGAGATCATTGAAATGTGAATATTTTGTTTTCTAATCCATCATATTTATTTAGGCTTATTCATAATCTCAACAATGCTTTAGTTATTTATTTGTTTGGTTTGAGTTTATAGTTCTTAAACACATTTTGGTAAATTTATCACTAAATATTTTGGTGCTATTGCAATGGCATTTTTTTTTTTAAAGATTTATTTATTTATTTATTTATACAAGCACTGGGTACAGTCAGAAGCACAGGAGGGTGAGAGAGTTCACCAGAGCCAGAGCGGGGAGCAGAGCAGGCAGAAGGACCAAAATACACTGCTGAGGGGAGTAGTGGGCAGCAGGAGAGGTCTGCGTGCCATGCGGGACCCTTCTCCCGTGGCCGGGGAGCATCCAGGGATCGAACCGGAGCCGCAGAGGCTTCAGGCAGCTTCGCAACCCAGCACTCAACTGCTGCGCCACCGGGGAGGCCCTGCAATGGCATTTTTTAAGTTTTATTTTCTACTCGTTCACTGATTGAAACAAATGTAAATAAAATTGAATTTTAATTTTCTGTATTGATCTCAGTGGTTGAACTTCCCCAAATTCACTAATTAAATAGGTTTCTCTTTGTTTTATTTTTTAGTTTTCTTAAAATTTTTTTAGACTTTTTTTTAACCCATAAATAAACAGACTTCTATTTTCTTTCCACATTTTTCACCTTTCATTCCTTTTTCTTGCCTGTTTCATTCTTTTGGACCTCAAGAACAATGATCATCAGAACTTTTAAAAGAACAGCAATTCTTATATTGTTTCTTAGAGAACAAGCATTCAACTTTTATATATTAAATATCATCCTATTAGTAGCTTTTTTTTTAAAGATGACTTTTACTTTCATAAGCAATAATCTTCTATTATTGGTTTACTGAGTTTTTGAAAAAAAATTCACAATGATGTTGAAATTTCTCAAATTCTTATTATCTCTGTCCATTAAGTGAACCATATGATTTTTCTATTCTGTCTTTGTGATGTACACTGATTGAGTTTGAATTTTTGATCCAGACTTGCATTCCTGGGATAAACTTCTGCAGTGTCATGATTTTTAGTTTTTCACATATAGCTGAATTTGATTTGCTAAGATTTTATTAAGGATTTTGCTGATGCCTTTGTTCATGAAGGAGACTGGTCTAAAATTTTCTTTTCTTGGCCTCCAGTTGAGTGCTGGGCTGCGCAGCAGCCAGTTGAGTGGCGCAGCAGTTGAGTGCTGGGGTGCGAAGCTGCCCGCAGCCTCCGCAGCGCCGGTTGGATGGCTGGCTGCCGGCAAGGGTCCCACATGGCGCGCAGACCCTTCCTGCTGCCCGCTGCTCCCCTCAGCAGTGTATTTCGTCAGTCTGCCTGTTCTGTTCCCCGCTCTGGCTCTGGTGAATTCTTTCACCCTCCCGCACTTCTGACTGTACCCAGTGCTTGTATAATAGAATAAATAAAATCTTTAAAAAAATAAATAAAATTTTCTTTTCTTATGAAGTCTTTGATATAACTTGGATGCTATTCTCTTCTTTGCCATTATATGAAAGCTAAATATGCAAGGCTTTGTACTGTTCCAAAGATTTGAAGTAACTTCTTACAGAGTACCAGAATATTCTTCTTTCCTTATCCAGGCCTATAAATTCAGCCCAACTTGATAGTCCTGCACTTTATTTTCCATCTTCTTAGCTCAGTGTGACCACTGTACTTTTGGCTTTCTCCCTTCAGTGTCACATTCCTAACAGTGCCTGCAGGTAAAAAGACACGGAAATCCTGGAGCTTACCTTGGTTGTGTCCTTCCTCTCACAGATCACACTGCTGAGCTACCAGTTACCCAAATTTGAAAAAACTGTTAGGTATTATGGAGAGGAGGCTACTCCTCTATCAGTTACTCTTCTAACGTCAGTAGCTAAAGTCCAAAGTGCTCACATTTTAACACACTATGATAGCTAGACAAATCACATCTACATGTCAATTCAGTCATAGGTTTACTTAGCATGTGCTTTGTTTGCAATTTAAGAAAATGTTCATTTCCAGTACAGTTGCAAAAATTATCAAGAAGTTCCAACCATTCAGAAAGAACACCATGTTCGGTGACAGGGAATAATTGAAAGTATTTGGTTGTGAGACTTCATGAACAGCAAGTCCCCAACTTCAATAATGGAGATGAAGAGAATGACTTAGATTTCCAAGAAGAAGCAAAATTGTAAACCAAGAACTCAAATCAGGGAAAATGATTGGAGCTAAGGAATTGGGCTGTTTAACTGAGGATGATTAGCTGGAAATTTAGGCTTTGGAGACAGTCATTACTATAGAACAGCAACAGGATCAGAAAATTCTGATTCACAAAGTAAAAGCAGAGCAAGCAGCTACATTTGTCTACCTTCTGAATCATATTATCAGTGAGATCAAAGGCAAGAGCAGTCGGGGCATCCATTTTGGTCAAATTGCATCATCTCTTCCTGACTGAAAACCCTTTGGTCTGGGATTGCATCAGAGTAAAATTTTTATCCCAAAACATCAGCAATTCTTGCTGAGGCAGACAGAAAATTTGGGCCGAAGTCCCCTCTTTCCTTGCAAAGCAAAGCTTTATGTGAAAGCTTTGTAAAGTACTTCCTGCATGTGATGCAAGCCATTTAGAAATTCAGACTTGCAGATTAATTCTCTTAAGAGTTCAATTAGTTAAGTAGCATTAGGAACTTCTTGATAGCATCAAGATGGCCTCTCAAAATACAATCTGTAAATATGATACATGTAATTGTATGATATAAAACAAAATTTAAAAGCCCCACTAGAAATAAAATTGGCAGTAATAAAATGAATGTAGCAGAGGGGTAATTTGTCACTTGATCACTGAGCAAGATCTCTATACTATAAAATTCCATTTCAAGTAAGTACAGCCACAGAAATTCTCCCCCTCACCCCTGGCACCCAATTATAAAATATCCACTCAGAGGGTAACAAATTACCTGAGAAAATAATGATGTCAATGTGAATTACTCCAATCTACCATTGACGTAATATGTACCCAGAAGTATCACGCACACAGAAATTTTCATGCTGGCCATCCAAACTGATTTCAATAAATTATCAACAATTGCACTGACATAACTACTGACATTTTCTGATGAAGTTTTGTTATTTTCAAACACCATTATTCAAGGAACATATGATAAGATTAGTATCTTGAGTTTAGGGTAATGAAACTGAAACTCTACAATCTGCCCTTTAATCAGAGAACTTTAGGTTTAGCTCCAGGCTCCTTATCATGTTGCCCCTGAGATAGACAGGTTTTAAAGGATTTTTCCACCAATATATGATTAGTAGTTGAATTCAGTATTGTGCAAAGATCTCTGGACCTTGGAGTTAGCAACAGTAACAACCTAACCTTGAACAAAATATTTCCATATCCTATTTCAGCAAATACTTCACACCTAACAATATTTAGGTGACCACTTTTCTCACCCCCCTACCTAAAAAAAAAATTTTCTTGTTCATATCATTTCCATCACATTACTCTGATTTATCTCCTTTATAGTAATTGTCACTAGCTAAAGCTCATTGTCTTATTCATTTCCTTATTTATTTTCCTGTGTTAGAATATTAGCCCTAAGTGAGCAGAGGCTCTTCTGTCTTATCTACCATTATATCCCCAGCACCTTCTGGCAAAGAGAACATGTCAAGAAGCAATTGTCAATCAACTAATACATAATTTAAGCCACATTTCCTTCAGATCCAAAAATACCATTCCTTTTTCCAACTCTTAAGCTTCATTACCATATGCTAAGAAAGCAGCTAAATAAAATTATGGATACATAGTATGGCTCTAGACTTCTCTTAGACTAGTCTCTATCTAAAAGTTTGTATTATATAGTTTAGTGGGAGTGAGAGAGAAGTAGGTTTATAGGGAAATTATAATTAAAAAGCTGTAATAGAATTATAAACAAAGGGAAGAATGGTGGTTTCTACCAGGCAGAAGTCAGTTTGCAAGAAGAGTTTTATCCTAGGAAGGATTATACAACATAATAACATTTTAGCATGGACATACAAACTGAAGAAAAATGACTGTTCAGCAGAAACTGGAACATGAGCAAAGGCATAAAGTTGAATGTGCCTTATGTTTTTGAGGACAGGGCAATGGCAAATGAGACAGGAGAGCAATTCAGTTGTGACAGACCTTATTTACAGGAATTTTTCTGATAATTTCAAAGAAACCGCTTAAATGTTTATCATAAAAATAAGCAGATACTGTGGAAATCTCTTCATACCTGGATATTGAAAGTCAATCTTTGGAATATTTGTCCTAGATTTGTCAGTCTGGGAGATGCTTTCAGAGATGAGCATTTGGTGGATATCTTCTATTCTTAACTGATGAAATTAAGATTTTTTAAACCTATTTCCAAATACAAAGAAAGGGAGTTAAATTTCTTCCATATGGTATTGAACAAGAGGATGAAATTAAGGGTAATGAAAACACATTAAGATTTTTGCTCAATTTAACCGTTCCAACAATTAAAAATTCTACTAAAATCATGGGCTGATCCAGGTAGTAGTAAGGATTTCTTGGTCAAACAGAGAACAAAGTTATACTTTCAAAAATACTTCATAGGAAATTCAGGTTTAGGAGATCACCTTCTAAATTCTCCCCAGTGCTAACATTTTGTTTTAAATTGTGTATCAGCAAGCCTATTCAAATCATCTGTTAGTTAAAAATGCTTCATTACCAGGTGCTGGAAACAAAGGTGAATATACATAATTTATCAATAGTATTAAAACATGGTGCTTAAACCTTATGTTATATCTGCTTGTTCACACATATTAAGCCAGGTATGTGACTCAGCTGCTTGACTATTCAGTGATGTGCAGGTTGGTGGGTCACTGTGATCACCACATAGAAATCAATGCTGTTTTTTTTTTTTTTTGTTCACCTCAGTGATAGCTCCAAGGTACACAGTGGAACTGGCGTGTGGTTTTGGAGCCACAATCCTGCTGGTGGTGATTCTCATCGTTGTTTATCATGTGTATTGGCTGGAGATGGTCCTCTTTTACCGGGCTCATTTTGGAACAGATGAAACCATCTTAGGTGAGTAATGCAAGTCTGACATAAATTTTCTATCATCTTTTGAAAATGTTGGTTTCATCAAAACTGGGTGATTTAATCAAACTACCTTTGTTAATCTTTTTAATACTTACTATTCTGTATTGTTGACTCAATGTGTGATTTAGTATAAATTGGTATTGTCTAAATAGAAATATTTTGCAAGGCATATATGTAATTTAAAATTTTCTAGTGGTCACATAAAACTAAAAAGAAAATGAAAATAATTTCAACAATGTATTTTATTTAACTCAGTGAATCCAAATGTTGTTTTAGCATGTAGTGAATATTAAAAAGCTAATGGAGATGTTTTACTCTTATTCTGAGTACTAAACATCTTCAAAACTGTATCATATTTTACACTTACATTTCAGTCCAGAACACTGCATTTTAAGTGCTCAGTGGTCTCATGTGGCTTGTGGCAGCTTTATTAGGTGATACAGATTCACAGTCTTTGTGCGCAAGTATAATCCAATCACTGGCAGCCTGAACATCATGTGAGAACTTACCAAAAAGATAGTCTTACACTTAATTGCTTTTCTGAAGCAGAATCTGCATTTTAACATATTCTCAAGATCCATATGCATAGTAAAGTTTAAGAAACACTGTTCTAGTCAAATTTGCCTGGTGACAAGAATGGAACATTTAAACATACAGCGTTTCGACACACTCCATAAAGACTCATTCTATATGCCTATTAGACACAGAACCTTTATTTTAATGACAGGTTATTTTTATAACTAGACAATGTAGAGAAAAAATGTTTTATTGTATCTAAGCATATTTTTAATTGTAGTTATTTTCAGGTATAAGTAATTTGGTTCTAAAACTTTAACTCAGTACATATTTCCAGGATATTAATAACCTATTAGAACAGGAACTACAAATATTCTGCATAGTATTAATCATTAGTTTCTATGATTGACTCTTTGCTTCCTGATTCTGTTAATTCATAGTCGAATGGACCAATCTTTATTCATCTTCACTATAAAATCTGAACTCAGTAAGATGAGTAGAAATCACATCAGATAAAATTTGCAATTACACCTTAAAATAGTCATTTTGCCTGGAGACCTGTCATAAGTGGGAAATCACATTGAAATCAGTCAGACAATTTAGACAGGTAAAAATGAAATGTCTAATATCCAAAAATTTGATGTAAGAAAAAAATGCATTACTATTGAGAAGTTTGCCTAACTTAGATTGGGTCTGTGTTTCTTTTGCTAGATGGAAAGGAATATGATATTTATGTATCTTATGCAAGGAATGCTGAAGAAGAAGAGTTTGTATTACTCACCCTCCGTGGAGTTTTGGAGAATGAATTTGGATATAAACTGTGCATCTTTGACCGAGACAGTCTGCCTGGGGGAAGTAGGTATTTCAGATGAGTAGAAGTGAAGCTCTCCTGAAAGGCAAAGGGGATCTTTAGCATTGAATGGTGTATGAAGGGTCATAGCCCAGCTCCAGGTTGGCATCTCTGGACATTTAATGCCCAGTTCTTTACTGTAATAGAGACTTTGCTAGGAATAAACTGCATTGTAAGATGTAGACTATTCAAGTGCAGTTTATGTCATTAAAATATTTTCCTGTAGGAGCTTAAAGAACTCTAGTCAGAAATGTGAGAATACAGAGTAGATTAAATTGCATTAAATGTCATGGCTTTAAATGTCCTTTTTACTTTCATTTAGATCTTTAGAAAGTTTTAAGTCAATCTACATTCATTTGCCTAGAATTGTCTTTACGGAGACTGATTTTAAACAAACCATTTTTACCAAAACTGAGTTTCAGAAGAGAGTGCATGATATCTTCATATTACTCACTGATACTAACTAGAATATTCCCCTTTGGCATTTGCTAATTTCCTTTTCCTTACTTTTATTTTCTACAAAATTCTTTTCCTTGGCTGTGTTTCTTCCTTTCTATCAGCTTATACATTTGAGATATAGCTTAAAATTTTACAAAGATGAGAATGTTCTATTAGTTAAAAAAGCTTAAATTGCTGAATATCTTAAAATAAAAGTACATATGTAATTTTCAGATCCACACAGTAACACACAAAGTGATGGGCCATTTGATACATAAATGTATCATTTGTGAGCCCACCATTAAATTCATACTGTTCTAATGTATAGAATGTGTCTAGTATTCAACATGACAAAATAATTTTCTTCCTCTAAAACCTGTTTACAGTAACCATTTCACAAAGTTTTTAAAATGCTATATAGGTAATTGAAATGCAGAATAGACTAAAAATTTTATTTTCATTTTGAATTAGCTGAATTTCTTATTTTATCATTCCCCCCAAAATGCATCATGCTTATGTTCTACAGTAGGTGTCACCTTCAGTATAATTTTGTCAGGAAATGATTACTTGATTATAAAATTAGAGGGACCATGTCACTATTTCAAGAATACATTCTAAATCATTTATTCATCCATGTATTCATTTCAAGTCTTTCAAAAATATTTATTTACTGTATGAAAAGGTAATGAAGATATACAGTATAACAGTGTAAGACCCTCAAATAGGGATTGATAGTTCCTTGAAGAATTCAAGTTCTGCATAATAGTCTTGCATCTTGATTTTGATTTATTCTTGTGATCTTTTGCATTTTTCCTGCTGTTCTTAATCTATCTCTGGATCTATTTCTATGCTTATAAGTGGTCAGCCTCCAGCAATGCTGCTTGATGTAGACCATTACTTATTTCTGCATTCTCCTCCAGGCTAAACGTGCTAATTTAATTGCAAGTCTTTCCCCACTGCCTCTGTACCTGCAAAGATTCAGGGGCAAAATGACTGTTTATGGGAGTATGGAAAGCCATGAAATAGCTTTTCACAACACAAGTGTATTCCCTGGTGTTGGCTCCTATCTGAACCCCAGGTAAAGGATTATACAGTCCTTGATAAGCAACCTGGTGTAGATGGATTAGCCCTGAGAATTTAGTGACAGGAACTAATCAGAATCCTTGACAACAGAATAAAATTATGCTGCATTTCTGTTTTCCCTGCTTTTTCTTCTTCTTTTCTGACTTGAAGAAAGCATTTGTCTGTTAGTGAAGGCAGACACATCTGCTAGCAGCTGCTGAGACACATGGCTTCATAGTAATGATAAGAGTTTAAGGAGAAAGAGCCATGGACTAATTTCGGGTCCCGAGCAGATACAGAATAGAAAGCTGAGCTGCGAATGTGATGCCAGCCAAAGTGTCAGTCAGTTGGCTAGGATTTTTTAAGTTCCTATGCCAGTGACAGTGATGCCAATCTGAGTCAGGAGATATCTTGGCAACAGAGAGGGACTTGAATGTATAATTTTTGAATGTCCACTGGCACTAAAGTTGATACATGGGTGTATTTGAGGAGAAATGACCTGATTTGACTGAGCCACAACATGCAACATAGTTGAAAAACTGATTTCCAGACAACCTGCCTATTTCTCATGTCCCAAATAATGCTTTTGAAGACCAAGGTTGCAGAAGTACATTTTGACTTCATGCCTGTTTGGCATTCATTTTGGGGGAGACTACTTGCATGTGGCTTTCATTCTCCCTGAGGAGAGTGGTATCAGGTGAAGGCAGTGATTGGGTCTAAGTAAAAGTTTCTTAGTTAAAGTTCTTAGTAAAAGTTTCACCCCTCAGTCCCCTACACTCGAGCCCCATGCCTTGGGGAGGTTCCTGGCCAACACTAATCCCCACGGTGTTTTCTTTCCCAGTTGTCACAGATGAGACCTTGAGCTTCATTCAGAAAAGCAGACGCCTCCTGGTTGTCCTAAGCCCCAACTACGTACTCCAGGGAACCCAAGCCCTCCTGGAGCTCAAGGCTGGCCTAGAAAATATGGCCTCTCGGGGCAACATCAACGTCATTTTAGTACAGTACAAAGCTGTGAAGGAGACGAAGGTGAAAGAGCTGAAGAGGGCTAAGACGGTGCTCACGGTCATTAAATGGAAAGGGGAGAAATCCAAGTATCCGCAGGGCAGGTTCTGGAAGCAGCTGCAGGTGGCCATGCCAGTGAAGAAAAGTTCCAGGTGGTCTAGAAGTGGCGAGCAGGGTCTCTCCTATTCATCTTTGAAAAATGTATGAGAGGGACCATGGAAGGGGTAAAACAAACCAAGGGTACTCCAGAAGGGAAGAGCGGCCCCTTTTTTTGTTCCCAAATTATTGCATCATGGACAGAAAAATATTCCTTTAAAGCCTCCTCATAGGGATAAATTCAGGTGACTGCACCTGGCCGTTAAGCCTCCTCAGTCAAGACTAAGGTTGAGAATGATAGTGCCGCCACTCTGTCACCAGCTTTTCATGTCCCTATGTTCTTTGCAGGCAAAGACTGAGCTGATGTGAATTTCCCCTTATGTATCCTCTACCTTGTTCCTACATCTCCATTCTCTCTTCATTTGTTTTTAATCTCTTTATTACTGAGTTTGCTGTTGATTAAAAGACCCCTTAAAGTTAAGTTTTTTGTTAACAGGATCATTATAAGTTTCCAAGTATGGTTTTCTTTTGCCTTTTATTTTTACTCATCTAGAATCTAAATTTATTTTAGTTGAAAAGAATGATCTCTTTTGCTCGGCCTGCTTACGAAGCACCATCCCAGCAAGTCTGACACTCGCTTAGGATGACGCAAAACAGTATAACTGGAATTGATCCTTGTAATTGGTTTAAAGGACTTGCCTTTATTTTCTCTTATTATAACCCCTGTGTCCTCTCTCTCAGGTAATCGATGATAAATTTGTCAACTTGAAAAAGATGTCATAATTTCTTATTACAGTAAATTCTTGCATATCTATAGGTCAACCCATATTTATTCTGTCTCCATGTCTACTGTACAGTGTATATCAGTAATTGATTTTGCAACTGGCTCCACACTTAGTTCAGTCTGATAGGATCTTTTACTAATGGTGCTAATAGAGAATGAAATAACAGCAAAATGCTTTTAGGGTGGTTTCTGGCTTGTGAGAAGAGCACAGAACAGGATGTTTGGCAATTTGTCTTTTAATTTCAGTCATGCTAATGTGACTATTAGGAAAGTGATTTCTCTTCACTTGTTTCTACCTCCTCATTGTAAAGTGTGGAAGTTAGATTCAGTGACCTTGAGAGTTGCTTTTAGCATTAATAGTCTAAAAAAATTAACTGGATGCCCAGTATTTTCCATACTTTATTCACTGATACAGTTTCCTCACTACAAACAAGTCAGTCTGAAAAGTCATTGTCAATAAATCTTGTTTTAGTTTGTTTTAATTAAACTTTACTCTTCTTAAAAGTTGGAAAAGTGAAAACTAAGTCCAGAGTTTACAGAGTGGTGAATATGTTACATACAGATTAATATATATATGTGTGTGTGTATGTATATATACACACATAGTTAAACACGTGAATTCTACTATAGATGTATACATACATACATATATACACACATGGATTATATATGTGTGTATATCTATATCTTTATATCTATATATGCTTATGGCTTCAAATAACTATTGTCATAATATTATCAACCACTGGAACTCTTGTCCAGTTTTTACTATAATGCTTTTGTCTCAGTGTTGTCTGTACATTTGATATTATTCATTATTCATTCATTCACAGCTCACAAAGAAGTAGTTGTTTGGTCTTGCCTTCCCAAAATTAGTTTCAGTAACTTGCTACTGCTACTACAGTTGATCTGGATACAGTGAAACCTGTTGTGCACAGAGCTGTCATGGTCACTGCTGAATGGTAGCTAGTCCTCTGGCATTAACTAATCGCCTACTGTGTTTTCAAGCACACACACTTAGAAACTAAACTGTGTTAATCTCAGTGCTCAAGTCATGGAGAGATAAATCTCAGTCTGGGCTGTTAAGTAATAAGGGAAAGGAGAATAATACGCTTATACATGAAACTGGTATCCTATAAAACCCCTTATCTTAGTGGTGGGTTTATAAGCAATTCTAAAGCTATCGCCTATATTTAAGTGGCTTTCATCAGTATTAAAATGCACAATAAATCAGTTCTTGATGGAGGAGTTATTTATTATTTAAAATTGAAAACAATTTTTTATGATTCTTAACTGTAGAATTATGGTATGGAGTCACTCTTAGACCTATATTTTGGCCTTATTAATTATTTTTTCTTAATACTTTCCTATTAACCCTTCACTCACCAGAACAGAGGAGAATTGACTCCAGAAAAACTTTGAATATCAACTCTTGCATGAGCTTTATGTAAATGAGGGACAGTCCTGTCTCAAGGGGCCATTCTCTTGCCAATGCTGCAGTTTTTTCGCACTTTTGAATTACATATTTTTTCCCAAATGTTGTTGGGTGCCCCTAGAAATTTGTTGATTTTTTCTTTTTCAATTTACTTTCCTGCCTTTGGTATTGAACTTTTCCAAATGCTAAAATCTAAAGCCTCTCAAATATAAATGATATGTTTCATCCTAAGATAATTTTTCCCAAGATTTTTTGTTTATAGTCCAGAAGATGCCCAATATAGAATATTTGAGGAAAATGGGGAAATGATTTATAATTTAGACTGCAAAAAAAAAAATGCTCTCTAATATTTTTTTAAAAAAATGTTGTTAATGTTAAAAAAATAAACGTAATGGCTTTAGGTCTATGACATAAATATCTCCTGACAGAGAACCATGATATATAGTCTCTAATTATGCAATCATATACAATTAATTTAATTTTCTTCTGTATTCTAACTTAGATGATGCCCTAGGACTCTTAAATAAGCACTCCATTGTATTGGGAAACAACAGCTTCCCTCCATTTGTTAATTATTCATTTTCTTTCCATAGGTTTTAATATTTTAAGGTTATCTTTTTTATTTTATTCATAAGCTTTTGTATTTTCCATTTGATTTGTAAATTTATTTTAAAATAAACCATTTATTTTCAGCTTTGAATTTTATTTTGTGCATGTGTTTTGTCTTTATTTTTATGTTTGTGTATAAGAACTGAGAATAAAAATTAATAATACACTTATGAAAGAAATGTTATAGGTTACATTAAGTTTCTTTTGTGAGAAAAATTTGATAAAAATGGGAACTTTATCTCAAGATTATTTTCTTTACATGCGAGTAAAGGAGTAAAATATTCCTTAATTAAAATGGATGAATGGATGAGTTCTAGTTATCAGAAGAGTGTGTGTGTGTCTGTGTGTGAAAGAGAGATGAGAGGGAGAGGAGAAAGATTCTTTTAAAGCTAGTACACAAGCCTATTCCATGGAATTAAGTAGATTACAGGAATCTCTTATCTTTTATAGGTTTTCATGCAATCCTAAGACATTTGCTTTGACATAAGATCAAGTAATGTCCTGACTTTAGTTTGCAGATGATAATTAGGATCAAAGAGGCATTATTTTTATCATAAATTTCAAGTAAATAAGCAATAACTATTTGGAAATGCATTTTCTTTTGAGTGAATAGTATTAAGTTCATAATAACAGGGAGGCCCTTGCCTTGCTTTTCTTTTTCCAAGAATATTAATTAGGGTCCCATAACTAAACTAGTTAGGTTAGTAAAATTATTCCTACTGAAGAATTTTCCTTTTTTCAAACCAGTCTCCAAAGAATAGACTAAGGATCAATGAATGGAATTTACAAGAAACCATATCTCTATTCATTCAGGTAACAACTTTAATGCAGAGTTGAACAATGATGTACTTAACTTACTTTGGAGATACTAGGTCCCCCAATTTTTAGAGGTGTGCAAGGAGAGATTTAATGGATTTTACTGAGATTTTTATATGGACTTAATGCATTGGATAAGTGGTGTTAAGTTCAAAGGTGCTTGCTTGCAATGCCGAACATATTAAATAACATTCTCAAACACACTAGTGACTATTTAGCTAAATATTAGTAGTGTTAATATCAGTAGTTTGGACATCAAGGTAATCTGACTATTACAGACCTTGTTAAAACTCAAGATATTTTCTTCAGTCATTTACTAATGGCAATAGGTGTTTGACACAAGTAAATTCACAGCATGATAGGACACATTCAACAACTAGCCTTATTTCTGTTTCTTTGCAAAGAATAAGAAATATCTTTAGCTGTGGAGTAGGAGATTGTTTCAGTAGTAGTTCTAACATATCTTTTAAAATGAATAAATATAATTTTAAAAATGATACTTTCTTGTATGTCCACATATTAATGTGATTCTTTAAAGTTACCATCAATGGTTGATTCAGAGTCAATCAACATTAATAGATACATTATTTTAGGATTGTGTTAAATAGATTTGAATGATAATTTAATCAAATTATTAAATGGTTGTCATGTTAGGCATATGAATTTAGTTATCTATAATTTGTTTAACAACCATACAAGTTTTCTCATATGCATTTTATAAATGTGTGAACTCAGACTTAAATATCTTAAGATAGAAACTGACAAATAGATAAACCAATGTTAGAATTCATATAAATCTTCTAAATTAGGTGCTCCCTCACCTTTTGTTAACCACATTTCAAATTTTAAGAAAGAACGGGAGCCTCCCCTGGTGGTGCAGGCGGTTGAGCGCAATGCTGTGAAGCTGTCCGCAGCCTCTGCAGCGTCGGTTCAATCCCGGCCAGCCCACAAGGGTCCCACAAAGCATGGCAGACCTCTCCTGTTGTGCCTGCTGCTCCCCTCAGCAGTGTATTTCAGTCAGTCTGCCTGTTCTGTTCCCCACTCTGTCTCTGGTGAATCCTCTCACCCTCTCCCGCTCATCTGGCCTGTACCCCAGTTCTTGTATAAAATAAATAAATAAATCTTTAAAAAAAAAGAAAGAATGGAAGGGGAGAAGAAAGATAATTACTACTCACTGATACACCAATAACCAGACTAAATAATGAAATTATAGGCCTAGTTTTCTTCGAGGTAAATTCAGGGAGATTATGACTTTTAAAGGCAGGGTTATTCTGGAGTTTTGATTAGTTTCAGACCAGAAATATGCCCTAAAAACAAGATTAATAAAGTGCAAGAAAACTGGTCTTACCATTCTATAGCCACACCTCAATACCTTGGGGCTAAGTAGAACAATAAAATTTATTATTTCCTCACCAAGTAGCCTTCATATCCTAAAAAAGTTTTGAAAATATGAAAGATATTAAAATATGCCATAAAGTGGACAGCTATCTTTAAAATACTATGTGAAGACCAAAAGCATAGACCAACCTCCATTCAAGAAGCATTTTCTCCACTGCTTATTTAATTTCGGGAATACCACTATTCACATCTATTTCTTTAGCATTACCCATTGTCAAATGCAAACCTTACATTTTCAGAGTGAGTACCACTACATTTTTTTTTACAAAAGGAAAATGAAAAAGTCACAGACTCTAAAGACAATTTTCTATAGAATACCTAGGAGACTGTTTTATGTTACTGTTAGCTGTTTTAGACAACATGTTTTTCTAAAGTGATTATTTTGAAGTTAAACACAAATGAAAAATTTGAATACAGAGTCCTTTTGTTTTGCTTTATAGTTCCTAATTTTATTGAGCATATAATGATATAGTTAAGGTTTACTTAGCATTCTAATATTTTATTTGATTTGGGGGGGTTACATTGCTCACAACACTGTTATAGTGTAGGGGTATAGGTTCACTACTGTTCAGATGTATGTTACCACCAACATCCATCACAAAGAACAAATAAACCCCCACCATAGTCCATTGTGTCCACTTTTCACTTTGTTCCTATTTGCCACTTTCTTTCAATTTCTAAGTGTTTTCTTGGTTTAGACTTGTCTGTTCCTTTATTTTCTTTATATTTCACTTGAATGAAGACATCTAGTATTGGCCTTTCACCTTCAGACTTTTTTTGCTTACCATAATTTCCTCCGGTTCTATCATATTACCATAAGTGGCAAGGTTTCATCTTTTTTATGGCTGACTAGTATTCCATTGCATACATACACACCAAATCTTAATCTAATCATTTGTCTGGACAATTAGATTGTTTCCAAAACATATTTATCATAAATAGTGCTACAATGAACATAGGAGAGCATTTATCCCTTTTGAAAGAATGTTTTTGACAGCTTAGCAAGTCAAAAACAAGGAGTGAAATTGCTAGATAGCAAGGAGTAAAATTGCTAGATCATATGGTATATCTATTTTTTTTATATTTTGAGACATTCCATACTATTTTCCTTAGGGGATGGACTGTTATTCATTCCCACAGTGTAGGGGGGTAACTTTTTCTCCACACCCTCACAAACATTTGTTATTTCTGGTATTTTATTGATATGGGGCATTCTCACTAGAGTGAGGTGGTATGTCATGTGGTTTTGATTTGCATTTCCTTGATTCTAAATGATGTTGAACATTTTTTCATATGCCTGTAGGTCATTTGTAGTCTTCTTTGAAAAAGTGTCTGCTTAGCAATTTTGCCCATTTTTTGATAGGGTTCTTTGCTTTCTTTTTATTAAGCTAGTGAGTTCCTTGTAGATCTTGGACATTAACTGCTTAAGTGCTATATAATGTGCAAATATTTTCTCCTTTTCAGAGGGTGTTTTTTGTTGTTTTAATCCTAGTTTCTTTCACTGTGCAGAAGCTCTTTTGTTTGATGTAGTTGCATTTGTTGATTTTTGCTTTTATTTTCCTTGCTTTTGGAATATCATCCCAAAGCATACCTGAAGCCAGTGTTGAGGAGTGTTATGTCTGTTTTCGTCTATATATTTTATAGATTCCAGCCTTCCATCCAATCTTTAGTACATTTTGAATTTGTGTTTATGTTGTGAGAGAGTGGTCTAGTTTCATTTCTCTGCATATAGGTGACCAGTTTCCCCACTACCATTTGTTGAAGAGACTTTCCTTTCTCTATTGTATACTCTTGGTTCCTTTGTTTTACATTAACTGTCCATATAAATGTGGGCTTATTTTTTGGCAATCAGTTATATTCCATTGGTCTGTATCTCTATTTTATGGTAATACTACATTGTTTTGCTTAGCTTTGAAGTCTGGGCATTTATCTCCATCCCTCTAGTTTTTGTTTGTTTGTTTGTTTGTTTTTTGTTTTTTGTTTTGTTTTGTTTTGGTAAGGACTGCTTTGAATATTTGGGATCTTTTGTGATTGTAAATTTCAGTAATGAATCCTCAGTTTCCTGAAGAATTCCACTGAAACTTTGATAGGTATTGAATCTTTATATTGTTTTGGGTGTGGTAGAAATTTTAGTAATGTTAATTTTTCCAAGACACAAATAAGATAGATATTTCCATATCTCAATATTTTATATTTCTTTTAATAATGCCTTACAGTTTTTTATTGTACAGGTATTTCATCTTTGTTAAGTTTATTCCTAGGTACTTAATTTTAAAATTTTCAATTGCAAATTGGATTCTTTTCTTGATTTCTTTCTTTTCTGAGTTGTTTGAATAGAAGAGCATAACAGTTTCTGTATGTGGATTTTGTTATCTACAAATTTGCTGTATTTACTATTTCTAATAGTTTTTTTTATTGGATTCTTTAGGTTTTTCCATGTTAATTATCATGTTCTCTGCAAATAGTGATAGTTTTACTTATTTTCCAATTGGGATTTCTTTTATATCTTTCACTTTCCTAATTAATTGCTTTAGATCGAACTTTCTAATACTATGTTGGACATTCTTATCTTGTACCTAATCTCAGAGGAAACCTTTCAGTTTTTCACCACTGTGTGTGCTGTTAGCTATAGATTTGGCAAGATAGCCTTTATTATGTCAAGGCATGTTCCTATCCCCATTTTATGGGAAGGTTTTTTTTTTTTTTAATCATAAATAGATGTTGAATTGGCAACTAGATCATGATTTATGATCCTTTTAATGTATTATTGAATTCAGTTTGCTAAAATTTTTTGAGGATTTTTACATCTATGCTGTTTATCAAGTATATTGGTCTGTACTTTTCTTTTTATGTGATGTTTGGTCT